TTTTTTTGAACATGAAGGATTTTCGGGGATTAAAAAGTTTTTTTAAATCGGTAATGAAAGTTAAATTTTTAATCAATTTTAATTTAAACACTTTGAATTTAAAAAGGAATTATTGAATTTAAAAGCACGTTCCATACAGTAATTTCTTGTTACGTGATATGGTAGGATTAATTAAAATGGAATGCGGATGCATTCAAAGCATTTCTGCAAGTTCAACGGGAAATCTGTCCCCATGTTCCGTATTTTAATTGCAATTACTACCTCACTTCTTTCGCTTTTGTAAATCGCTGTGATATATTTATTTCGTTTATTGTATGTCTATTTGTATCTATCGTGTACTTTGGTATAGGTCCTGCAGGCTGCTGTGCTCTGTAAAATATTTTTCTTCATTTGTCAAAATTTTCATTATTCTAAAAAAATCATAATAACATAAAACAAAAAGTGTAAAAATTAAGACTTTTTTCTGTTAAAATACTACATAACTCTTTTTATTTGAAAGTTTGTGTGATATTTTATGTATTTAATAACTTAATAATAGATTATACTTATTTAATATTATATTATAATTATAATATTACATTATAATTATAATATTACATAATGTTATAATTATAATATTATCATTAATAATTTAAATAATTTAATAATAATTTTTTTTACTAAAAATAAAAATTATCTCTTATTATAAAATTAATATAAAAAAAATCATAATATTATCGTATTGATTACACAATATTGTAAAATGGAGATTAAAAAAAACTTACCTCCATGTCTGGAGACCTCTCATTGTTTATACTGTTACTAAGCAAATAATTTACGATGTGTAACAGTCAAATTCTATGCAACACTTTTTCTATAAAAGTTTTTTTTTGGTTTATGTCTAGTATCCGAGATTTCATTCTAATTAATCTAAACCGACCTGCATTACATATTTGAAAATGATAGATGAATCTCTCAATAAAAATTATTATATACATAAAGTTTCAAACTCAAAATTTTACTTAAATTAAAATAAATCACTTATCACTTAATCTAATGACTATAAAAGTGTTTTTCTTCATGAATTTGCTTCGCTCTAAATCTAGTCTAGACCTTTTACTTTGGCACGCGGGGACCAGACCCAGACCAAAAGGAAAATAGTCAGGACCCCACACGGTTTTTGCAAAAGGAATCCACCAAACAGCCGTGACTTTGACCATAAAGTTTCAAGGCTTCTGTCGCTGTAGCATTTTCCCATCAACTTTCAAATTTATAGCGTCGCAGCTCATAAACCTGCATTTTTCCAATTTCAACTCTTCTTTTTTTCCTCCGCCTTAAATTTTTTTCTCCCCCGGTGTTCAGCCACGGTCAAGTCCACATCTCAATCTCATCCGCCGTGTTATGCTTTGACTTTGACCGATCGGTGGCGGCCCGTTTCTGAATCCGACGATGGGTCATTGCTGTACCAAGCACGTGTCCGTAGTTAACAATGATGCCAACGCCGCGGGAACCCGCTCCCAGCTGCATCCCCCGCCGACGCATGTACCGCCGGCGTCAGCTACTCCATCTGCTGAGTCAAACTCCTACTCCATCAGTCCCTTCACGAGCCCGCTTCCTTCAGGAATCCCACCGTCTCCGTCCCCCGCGAGGACTCCCGGGAGGAAGTTTAAATGGCCGTTGCCGCCTCCGTCTCCTGCGAAGCCGATCATGGCGGCGATCATGAGGCGACGCGGCTCGTCCAAGACGGGCGCGCCGAAGGAGGGCACGATTCCTGAGGAAGGCGAGGGAGTGGACCTGGATAAGAATTTCGGTTATGGAAAGAATTTCGGAGCTAAGTATGATCTGGGGAAGGAAGTGGGGCGTGGACATTTTGGGCATACTTGTTGGGCTAAGGGAAAGAAAGGAGACCTCAAGGGAAAGTCTGTAGCTGTCAAAATCATTTCCAAAGCTAAGGTATGCCGTTTTTGGTATACATTTCTACTGCAATTCGTGCTGGTTATAAATCTGCCATCCTATTTTATTTTCCGCATTACGATTCCAGGCCTACATATCCAATTATTCTCCCAAAATTCGGGATTGTAGTGTTTTCTTGTGAATTTTGAATTATTTAAGGACTGAAACAACATTTTAAGTTAAAGATTTGAACTTTATTTCGAAAGTGAAATGGTGATTAATGATTTGAACTAAGTGTTTGGATATCTTACTATAGTTGGTAAGTGAGTTTTGGGGGCAATAATGTGAGTTTTTGGAGCTGTTACTAAGTTCAAACAATGGTGATATTAGTTTTTTTTTTTTTTCTTTTTTTTTTCTTTTTCAGCGATGATTAATTTTAGACTTTATAAGGAAAACGTTTTTAGCTGTGGGAAGATATAGTGTTTTAAGGTGATTGCCCATTTTAAGAAAAGGTTAGGTAACTAGATTTTCAAGGGTTTTCTTCTTTAGCCCTCTTTTTTCTTGATGTCACAACATTTATGCGAAGAAACAAACAATCTTCTGTTGCAAGGAAGTCATTGATTGATATAATGATGTGAGATTTATGCTTGTTTGTTCAATGCTTGCACCTCACTTTTCCCTCTTGTACTTTCCAACTACTTTTTCTTCCTTTCTTGTTGTACACTTACATTTTATGGGCTCAATTAAATCTGTAGGACTTTTACCTACCACGTTTATGTTGTAATTGATTGGTTGATATCTTGCAGATGACAACAGCAATAGGAGTTGAAGATGTTCGTCGTGAGGTCAAGATTTTGAAAGCCTTATCTGCTCATAAACACATGATCAAATTTCATGATGCATTTGAGGATGCCCACAATGTATACATTGTAATGGAGTGCGTATCCCTTTTTGTTACTTTTATTTCAAAATTAATTGCTTAATGTTGACCAACAGCCTGCCACCCTTTTATGTCATACAATTTATTTTCCTAGTTGATTATCCATTCATTGATTTCTTTTTACAGTATAAGAACTGATAGAAAATCTGAAATTGTTGTTCATAAAGCAGAACTTTAAACATTGAATTTTACACTTAAGATGGTTTTTAATAATTTTCTCTAGGAATGCTTTTTGTAGCATCATTGAGATAATTACTTTACTCCAATGTAATTAAAATATTCTTCTATTGGCAGATTGTGTGAAGGTGGGGAACTTCTGGACAGAATTCTATCAAGGTGCCAATTGATAAGCTCGTTTCGTTTTACTACCCTTTCTTGTACGATTGTTTCTATTTTCATATAATATTTCCTCATTTCCTGTTACTCCATTGTTGCAGAGGTGGTAGATATGCTGAAGAGGATGCTAAAAGTATAGTTGTTCAAATTTTAAGTGTAGTTGCCTTTTGTCATCTTCAAGGTGTTGTGCACCGTGATCTAAAGCCAGAGGTAAGTCATCATGGATGATAGTCTATTTTCAATTACTTGTATGATGCATTTTATTGCTTATATTTGGTAAATGATTTTATATTGTGTCCTCAATTTCTGTTATCAATTAGTTATCCCTTCGAATGTGATTGCTTGGCAGAATTTTCTTTTTACCACCAGAGATGAGGATGCTCCAATGAAGATTATTGATTTTGGTTTATCGGATTTTATAAGGCCAGGTAAGTTTGAAAATGCATTTGTTATTTTATGCTTCAATGGCCATTTGTTTGCCTGTAATAGTAAATGTTTTTAATGATGTAAAAATCAATCAACATGGTTCGAGTTTGTCTTCTTTCTGGGTAAAAATGCTCTTTTAAACTTCAAAGGTTCAACTAAAAATTCTGATATATCCTCTTTTGTGGTTCTTCTCTTGCTGGAAAATTTCCATATTTAGATATTCACTTTACAAGGCTAATAAATAAACAAATAAAATATTCCATGTACATCTCTAGTTTGTTTGAAAAAAATAGAGTAGGAAACTGAGTTGCAGTGAGGCATGAATATATTGCAATTAGATCAAGGGCCTATCAGATTACTCCATGGTAAATTTACCTAGGGCTATACTCATAGTGATCCTCCTATTCAACTACTTCAACCATTTCAAAGCACTTTACGTTTTAGTTATGGAATTTTCAAGGCATTTTAAGATTTGATTATCTATGTATGATTTGATTTCTCATGTACAGCCCCTTATAATATATTTTTTGGCCTACGAAAAGAGGGTATAAGGGGAAACCAGCTCTTGGCAATCCTTCTTGGGCATGATTTTATGAGCCTTACCTTTTAGGAAACCTATACTAGATGACCTATTCAAGAAACTTGCACAGGGGCCTGCCTCCATTTGCAATGAGCTTTACTAGATATTGAAAATATTTGGTCATGTTTTTGACTTTGAGATTGGGGTAAATGATATTGAAAGGCAGGTAATGATAAGATGTTGGAAACAAAAGCTTATACAAATATGTCATGGCAAATTGGCAAAAATATCGGAATGAAATTAGTGTTCTTTTTTTTTTTTTTTTTGGGCCACTTTTCATTGAAAAATCTTTCTGAACATTTATCAATTTGAATCACTTGATTGCTGCTACCAGTGCAGAATAATTTGGTTTAATTGTCTTCAATTTATGATTAGAGATAAATTTCTTGCTACTGGTTTTGCATTGTGTTTCATAACTGATTCATTCTGTCTGTGGACATGCATTCATATTCCCATGTGCTTTAAATGTCATGAAATTATCTGAATTATGAAAACAAGTTGTTTGTGCTAAGTACATAATTAACTACTGTTAGAATGATCACAGAACATTGAGTTGTATTTGTGCAGATCATCGTCTCAATGACATTGTTGGCAGTGCATACTATGTTGCACCAGAAGTGCTCCATAGATCTTACAGTCTTGAAGCTGATATGTGGAGTATTGGTGTCATAACCTATATATTGTTGTGTGGAAGTAGACCTTTTTGGGCCAGAACTGAATCAGGAATTTTCCGTTCTGTGCTCAGAGCTAATCCAAACTTTGATGATTCACCTTGGCCCTCTGTGTCACCAGAAGCTAAAGATTTTGTGAAAAGGCTTCTGAACAAGGACCACAGGAAAAGAATGACTGCTGCTCAGGCTTTAAGTAAGTTCTACCTTGAAAAATGTTTTGAATATCAACTTGTAACTGAAAAGACTGACTGCTCTAGAAATTTACATGGTGTCATCCCCTCCCCATTTTATCTCTTGATCTATGATATTCATAACTTTGTTTGAAGCTGCTGACAGTGGCATTTTTATAATTATGAAAAGTGATTAATATCTCTTTATTTTCAGCTCACCCATGGTTGCTAGATGAAAACCATGATGTGCCATTGGATATCCTAATCTATAAGTTAGTCAAGTCATACATTCGTGCAACGGCTTTAAAACGAGCTGCTCTAAAGGTACTTCCCTGCTTATTAGAGGTATATAATTGCATATTTATAGTTACAGTTACGCCCACCCCGCATTCAACCAAAATGACCAACCTGAGAAAAGTTAGAAGTAACATAGAAAATTATTTATTTTTTAAAAAAGAAAAAGGTGGGTTCTGCTTTTCATATAGGCGGGCTTAACTTCTTTTACTTGCATCTTCAATTGATATATACATGGATTGTGGCCTAAAGGCAGCTTTCCAATTTAATGATATCACTGGGAGATTATGCATGGTTCATAGCCTTTTTGGATACTTAGATCATTGATTTATCTTCCTTTTATGGTGCAGGCTCTTTCAAAAGCTTTACCAGAAGCTGAGCTAATGTACCTTCAAGCACAGTTTAAACTTTTGGAACCAAAAGATGGATATGTGTCTCTCAGTAATTTTAAAGCGGTTAGTGCTTAGCTTCCAAATCAATGCTTGCCTGTTTTTCCTCAACAATTAATAATTTCAAGCTTAGTATTGTGGATTGCCTATTTTACTTAACGAATCCTAAGTATATGATTGTTTATATTTCTTTTGTTTCTAATTGCAAAGGTTTTCTCATGCCTTTTCATTTTTTGTGCAGGCTCTGATGAGAAATGTAACTGATGCCATGATGGAGTCAAGAGTTCTTGACATTTTGAGTGTGGTGAGATATGTTAATGGAACTTTCTTCATTCTTCTACACCAGGAAGTGTATTTTATTT